CGTGCCGCGGGACGTGCCAGGGGACGCGCCACGCGACGTGCCAGGGGGACTCGCCAAGGGACGCCCCACGGAACGTGCCAAGGAACGTGCCAAGTTGCAATGCTGAGTCTATCGATCTTGATGTACTGTGCCGAAGTCTGTGCTGTGCTGCGCCGTGCTGACTTGCGATGTGCCATGCCGCGATTGTGCTCTATAGCCTCGTGGATCGAGTCCTCCTCTGCATCCGAGTCCTGATCTGAATCTTAAGCTCGAGCTGCCTGAACACATAGTAGCTGCCCCAGAGCTAATCGACAGGGGGACATGCCAGGAGGACGCGCCGCGGAACGTCCCAAGGGACCCGCCAAGCGACGTGCCAGGGGACGTGCCACGGGCACGCACCGCGGGACGTGCCAAGGGGACGCGCTACGGAACGTGCTGGGGACAAGCGTTTCGCTCGAGACATCCTGCCAACATCCTCAGAATTCCTGCGCGCGGGGCGCGGACGCGCGAGACATCCTCGAAATTCTTGCGAGCGGGACGTGTAAACAAGCATTTCGCCTGAGACATCCTCTGAATTCTGGACCCCCACGAGGCCCCCCACGAGGCCCCCGCTCGAGACATCCCCCAATTTTGCAAAACCAGCGGTTCGCTCGAAACGTCTTCAACAAATTATGAAAGACAAGCATTTCGCTCGAGACATCCTGCCAAAATTCAAGGAAATCCTAGCAAAACAAACGAATTAGTCGAGACATCCTCGAAATTCCTGCGCGCGGGACGCGGCACGCGCGAAACATCATCGGAATTCCTGCGCGCGGGGCGCTTTTCCGCGTCGCGGTCGGCTCTGCAAAACCAGCGTTTCGCTCGAGACATCCTCAACAAATTCTGAAAACAAGCGTTTCGCTCGAGACATCCCCAACTCTGCAAAACCAGCGTTTCGCTCGAGACATCCTCAACAAATTCTGAAAAACAAGCGTTTCGCTAGGGACATCCTCAAATTTTAATTCGCCGGCCCACCTCCCGCACGTAATTTATCGCAGAATAATGTCGCCGGCCCACCTCCCGTCAAAACCGGGGGGTAAACCATCTACAAGAGAACCCTGGGCTCGAGCCCTTTCCGGGAAAACAAGCGTTTCGCTAGGGACATCCTCAAATCTTAATTCGCCGGCCCACCTCCCGCAAGTAATTTATCGCAGAATAATTTCGCCGGCCCACCTCCCGTCAAAACCGGGGGGTAAACCTTCTAAAAGAGAACCCTGGGCTCGAGCCCTTTCCGGGAAAACAAGTGTTTCGCTAGGGACATCCTCAAATTTTAATTCGCCGGCCCACCTCCCGCACGTAATTTATCGCAGAATAATTTCGCTGGCCCACCTCCCGTCAAAACCGAGGGGTAAACCATCTAACATGATGGACCCACGAACCCGGAAAGGGATATAGACATGTGGAGCATGGACACGTTTTCACGATACCCAACTGGGCAACATCCCACGAGACACTTCACGAAACATCCCACGAGACACCTCACGAAACATTCCACGAGACACCTCACGAAACATTCCACGAGACACCCCGCGAAACAGTCCACGAGACACCCCACGAAACATTCCACGACGACAGGCAACCACTCAACCAAGGCGGTGTGGTCGTGCTGGGGAGTGGTCGTGCTGGGGTGTGGTCGTGCTGGGGGGTGGTCGTGCTGGGGGGTGGTCGTGCTGGGGGGGTGGTCGTGCTGGGGGGTGGTCGTGCTGGGGCGTGGTCGTGCTGGGGCGTGGTCGTGCTGGGGCGTGGTCGTGCTGGGGTGTGGTCGTGCTGTGGTGAGGTCGTGCTGGGGTGTGGTCGTGCTGGGGTGTGGTCTTGCTGGGGTGGGGTCGTGCTGGGGTGGGGTCCTGCTGGGGTGTGGTCGTGCTGGGGTGTGGTCGTGCTGGGGTGGGGTCGTGCTTGGGTGGGGTCGTGCTGGGGTGTGGTCGTTCTGGGGTGTGTCGTGCTGGGGTGTGGTCGTGCTAGGGTGGGGTCGTGCTGGGGTGGGGTCGTGCTGGGGTGTGGTCGTGCTGGGGTGTGGTCGTGCTGGGGTGTGGTCGTGCTGGGGCGTGGTCGTGCTGGGGTGGGGTCGTGCTGGGGTGGGGTCGTGCTGGGGTGTGGTCGTGCTGGGGTGGTCCGCACCCTGTGATTTATCGATCGGGTCGTGCTGGGGTGTGGTCGTGCTGGGTGTGGTCTGGGGTGTGGTCGTGCTGGGGTGTGGTCGTGCTGGGGTGTGGTCGTGCTGGGGCGTGGTCGTGCTGGGCGTGGTCGTGCTGGGGTGTGGTCATGCTGGGGGTGTGGTCGTGCTGAGGTGTCCCGCACCCTGTGATTTATCGATCGGGATTTCAAAAACAAGCGTTTCGCCTGAGACATCCTCAAATTTTAATCCGCCGGCCTCCTTCGACCTCGATATTTATCAGGGAAAGAATCCGCCGGCCTCCTTCAAGTTGGGCACCGGGGACATGTTTACATACTAAAAGAGAACCCTGGGCCAAAGCCCTTTCCGGGAAAAGAGAACCCTGGGCTCGAGCCCTTTCCGGGAACAAAAAGAAACTGCAAACGAAACCTGCCAGGGGCGCACACCTTCCTGGTGGGTCTCCTCCGAGGGAGGCCGCCAGCAGGAGTAGACGCCAAGGGAGAGGCGGGAGAGGCGGGAGGCGCGGAAGCACCGCGACAGCGCCCGCGACCGGCCCGGCCCCGCCGGGGACATACAAATAGATACGCACAAATCCCAGGGTTCCAACAATTTTCTCATACTTTTCCGATTTTTGTCGTCCCCCCCACTTCCCAAATGTTTTCCCACATTTCCCGGGAATCGACGATTATTTGTGCCTGTGTTTTCCCCCTCCTGACCCCAGTCGGGGAGACGTACGACTCGGGATCGGGTGACTCGGGTCAGCCTGACGGGGACGTCAGGAGAATGACGAGACCCCGTCTGAACTCTGCCGCGAGCTCCCGCGGTAAACATCCCACGAAACCTGGACCGTCCAAGTTCAGGTTGGCGGCGAGCGAGGGGGGAAGTGAGAAGGGGCGGGGCTTCCCAGAAGGCTCGGAAGTCCCCTGGCCTTGTGAGAAGTTTTCTAAGCCTTCCCCAAAGGCACTGAAAACTTCTCAGAAGGCGCGAGGGTTTCTGAGAAGTCCCGCCGCCTTTTGTGAAGACCTTCTCCTTCTCATCCCCCCCCCTTCAGTCGCCGCCGACCAGGATGTGCCCGTTAGAAGGCATCGGCAAACAGATGCGACGAACTCGAGTCTTACGCTGCCCCGACCCTGGTGATCACGTCACGACTCGCGCAGGCGCCGCAGTGGGCATCAGCCATTCTTAAGGCATTCCCTCGGGGCGTGCGGGGTGCGCCTGTAAAGGGGCCCTGGGGCACAGAAATAAATAGACTCAAGTCCCAAGATAGATTACCCTATATTTCCATATTTTCTGAGTGTTCGTTTTGCCCCCCACTTCCCATATTTTCCCATATTTTCCTGGGAATCGACGATGAATCCCACCAGCCCTCTGGGCGTAGGTGGTTTAGGGTGTTTCCTCTTCCACCCCCTTCTTCCCCTTCGGGGAGGGGCTTGCCCCTCCCCCTACCCCCTCCCCTGGACCTGGACGGGGCGTTTCGCGGGTCCCTGGAGCGTCCAAAACGACCTCGGCGAGGAAGTTAAAGTCATTGGTTGTACTAAGGTGTTGGCCCCATTTTGGCTTCTTGGGGGGGCAGCGCCACTTGAGGACCCCCCCCCTTCTTTGATCGATCTCCTCTGAGATGGCCCCACGAGCGCTCCCAAGGCTCCCAAGGGTCCCACGATGCTCCAAGAGGCCCCAAGGCCGCTCCGAGACGGCTCCAAGTGGCTAACGAGCTCCCCAGGAGGCCTCGAAGAGGCCAAAATCCCTCCAAAACCTTAGGAAAATCCATGATTATGGCTTTCTCTGCTTTTCGATTCCGAAGGCCATCCGAGACCTCAAGATGGCTCCAAGATGGCCCAAGAGGGCTCCAAGAGCACTCCCAAGGCTCACAAGAGTGCTTCAAGAGGACCCCAAGAGGCGCCTAGGAGGCCCCAGGAGGCCCCAACAGGCGCCCAAGAGGCCTCCAAGAGGCTCCCAAAAGACCCCGAAGAGGTCCCAAGAAGCTCTGCGAGGCACCCAAGAAGCTCTAAGAGTCCACTGTGTGCTGCCCACTTCCCTGATCGAGGCAATTCCTCTGGGCATAGTTTCGTGGGGTTACTTTTTTGATTCGCGGCCCGCAAGGAAAAGTCCAGAGGGCGGTAAGAACGAGGCTGGGACACAACGCACGGGAAAGCAGATAATTAACGGCGCAGCACCGTGCCGGCCAAGAAGCAGCTGAGCGTGTGCCAGCAGCAGATTTCGTGGGGTTACGCGAAGCGTCTAGAATTGTGTCTGTGTTTTTTCATCTCCTGTGCCTGGTCGCACCGACTGAGGGCAATGATGGGGACCGAACATGAACGATCGCCCGCGAGCGCACGTCACCCGGCAAAAGGCTGGTGGACAGAGAGCAACGACAAGAATGCAGGGCAGCCGTCGCGTGGCGCCTCCGTCCCTCCTCCTTCCTCCACTTCCCGCCATGCTCAACATACGAAAACGACGCCCGTCCACCGGACCATGCTTGGACTCCCTCCAGGCCCCGCTCCAACGCGGTACGGTGCATAGTTTTCGGCTCGGAGGGCACAACTATGCACCGCACCATTCCTGGGTCGAGGATCGACACCGCCTCGGGAGACGCATACGCAGTGCGGTGCACACAAGTCGTCCGCGGACAGCAGCCTCTGTTTCACCCAGTCGTCGCCGCTTCACTTTTGCCGACGCACGAACGACGTGCACGGCATCTCTGTATCTGGTGCAGGCACCCCTCAGGGCTTGCAAGCCGTGCGCCGAGGAAGGCATGCTCCACCGGCCCGCTCAGAACAATCTTCGAAGCAAACGAGCCCTCAGCCCACGTCGGCTCTCGTCAAAATCGATGCCTTTCTGCTCAGCCTCCTGCCTGCGAGCTGGGCCCCGCTCAGGCGGGCATGTACATCTTGCACATGTCGTCGATCGCGTGGGCGAGGGCCTCGGCGGCTGCTGGATCAGCCGACTGCTTCGCCTTCACCGCGGCCGCCATCGCCGCGTGGTGCGCCTTGAGAGCGTCCACGTAATCGCCCTCGCTCTTGAACGGGGTCTTGGGGTCACCGACTGGCTTGACGCGCTGGCAGAGGCAGTACTCGGCGATCGTCGAGATGATCTTCGAGCAATGCTCCTCCTTCGTGTTCACCCAGCGCGTCATCTGGTTGAACGACTGTGCGGTCATCGTGCCCGCGAAGAGCTCGTTGCCCTGCGCAATCGCCTTGGTGATCGTGGCGCACGCCTCCTTCAGCTCGGCGACGAGCTTGGGATCGTCGAAGATGCCGCACGGCACCTGGCAGTGGCCGCCACGCAGGCGCAGCACCAGGTGGAGGGTAGACTCCTTCTGGATGTTGTAGTCCGAGAGCGTGCGGCCGTCCTCGAGCTGCTTGCCGGCGAAGATCAGGCGCTGCTGGTCGGGCGGGATGCCCTCCTTGTGGAGGCTTAGACATGGGCACCAACACCAACTCCGAGGGTTGCCTCCACCAGGGGAAGGTGATCCTATGTTTTGCTGTTGGTGGCAATCGTTCGGCCAACTTGAAGCCCGAAAATTACCACCGTCACCGAGGTCGGGATCATCTTCCCTCGGTGGAGACGCATCGCCGACATTGGTGTTGGTGTCAACCTCTAGGCCTCCGATCCTTATCCTGGATCTTGGCCTTGACGTTGTCCGCCGGCACGCGCCCGCGGGCGGTGCCGTGGCGTGAGTCGAACCATGAGCTGCCCACCTCCCCCGTGCTGCACCTCCCCAGGAGCGTAACATCCCCTCTGGGCGGCGAGGGCTGTGAAGGGGCCCTGGGACGCACAAATAAATACTTGCCATCGCTCAGACGTCCATTTCCCGTGCATTTTTCGGTTTCGTGCGTGTTTTTTTGCTCGATGGTCCGGGATGGTCCTCGATGGTTCTCGCCGAAAAAATGCACGCGTCGGAGCGATGCCAAGAATAGACACAAATAACGGGGACGCAGAGAAATAGACACAAATAACAGGATTCCCCATATTTTCCTGAGGATGAGGGGGTCGGAGGCGGCCCTCCCGCACACCACGCACTTCTCGGGCCACGGTGGATCGCGAAAGGTCGGGATGGGGATCGAGGCCATCGAGGCCCTTCGATGCGACGCAGGCGATGGAATGATCTACGTACTGCTTGGGCTGCAGGGGGTAAACGCACTTTGGGCTAACACACGTCCGGTGGATCGCGATGGGTCGGGATGGGGGTGGAAGGGGTATCGGGCGAAGAGAACTATGCACATGCACCGATCCTGGCAAGGCCCATCCTTGACCCAGGATCGGTGCATGTGCCTTCCTGGCCAAGGCAGGAGGGCGTGTGCACCGATCCTGGGCTCGGGGTGGGCCTGGCCAGAATAGGTTTATGTGCAGAGTTTTTTTTCCTCTAGGGGTGGAGATATATTAGACGAGCGCATTCCACTGCTCGCAAAGTAACTACTCGCGCAACTGGCCTGGATCCCCCGCAGAGGATGTACGATACATTGCATCAAAGCAGACACGTGTTTGTTGGATGTTTGCGAGTAGGCACTTTGCGAGTAGTGGAACGCGCTTGGTGATACGTAGAGAGCTAGGGGCCAGGGATATGGGGATAAGAATAAAAAAGGTTGGGGATAGAGGCGGAGGGATGGGTAGACCAAGGCAGACGCTGGAATGTAACGGGAGACCGATGGAAGCAACGGAAAGCAACAAGAGACAACGGGAGGCAACGTCACCCGCCCCCGACGCCGCATTCGGCAGTCCACCTGCTCGTTTCTTGGAAAACGTATGTATACAGGGGCCCAGGGACGGGAGCAGGTCTTGGTCGTGAAGCTTGACACTACGCTATGACACTACGCTAACTTCACGCTAACCACAGCGTAGTGTCATAGCGTAGCGTCACGCCCAAGTGCCCCCACCACTGCGCTATGACACTACGCTAACCGTAGCGCAGAGTCCTCTCCCGTGGAGCAAAATCAAGCAACACCCGGAAGAAAAGCAAACGAACGAAAATCGATTCCTTCTCCCCCGCTTCAACCGCAGCGTAGTGTCATAGCGTAGTGTCACGCCCAGGTGCCCCCAACACTACGCTATGACACTACGCCAACCGTAGCAAAGAGTCCTCTCTCCTGGAGCAGAGCCACGCAAAACCCTAAGGAAAAGCAAACGAAACAAAACGACTCATTCTCCACCGCCTCCACCGTTGCGTAGTGTCATAGCGTAGTGTCATGCCCAAATGTCCCAAACACTACGCTATGACACAACGCAAACCAGTATCGTATTGTCCTCTCTGACGGAGCGGAATCAAGCAAAACCCCAAGGAAAAGCAAACGAAAAAAACATTCCTTCCCTCCCCGCCTCAACCGTAGCGTAATGTCATAGCGTAGTGTCACGCCCAGGTGTCCCCAACACTACGCTATGACGCTACGCTAACGGTAGCGTAGTGTCCTCTTTCACGGAGCAGAATCAATCAACAACCCAAGGGATAGCAAACGAAAAACAAGATTCCTTCTCCCCCCGCTCAACCGCAGCGTCGTGTCAGAGCGTAGTGTCCTCTCTCACGGAGCGGAGCCAAGCAAAAATCGAAGGAAAGGCGAACGAACACAAACAAAAACGTCTCTCTCCGCCTCCACCGTAGCGCAGTGCCATAGCGTAGTGTCACGCCCAAGTGTTCCCAACACTACGCTATGACACTACGCTGACGGTATCGTAGTGTCCTCTCTCACGGAGCGGACTCAAGCAAAAACCCAAAGAAAAACAGACGAACAAAAACGATTTCTCCTCCTCTTCCCGCTCAGCAATGTCACGCCCAGGTGCCCCCAACACTACGCTATGACATTACGCTAATAGTAGAGTGCTGTCATATCGTAATGTCACGCCCAATTGCCCCCAACACTACGCTTTGACACGACGCTAACCGTAGCGTGCTGTCATAGCGTAGTGTCACGCACAGGTGCCTACGCGATCGTACTGTCATAGCGTAGTGTCACGCCCAGGTCTCCTCAACATATGCTATGACACTACGGTAACCGTAGCGTACTGTCATAGCGTAGTGTCACGCCCAGGTGTCCCCAACACTACGCTGAGACACTACGCTAACCGTAGCGTAGTGCCACGCACAGGTCTCTTCAACACTACGCTATGGCACTACGCTACGATTAGCATAGTGTGATATCCAATTGGTTTCAAAACTACCCTATGACACTGCACTAACTTTGCTTTCTGCACGGTTAAGAGTTCAATTTCATGGTTCAGACTAACCCTTCCCAGGGACGCGCAATTCGCCAGCCCAACGGGCCGAGGGCGCGCTAAGATCTCCGGTAACTGGTTAACGATATTCTAATTCGCGCGCGCGCGGCCGCCCCTGGGGGTCCCTGGGCGAAAAGTACCCCGGCAAGGTCCCGGGAGGAATGTCTGTAGGGGGCTGGAAGGCCCAGCCAACAGTTTCGCCTCAGGCGAAGCCAAGCTCCCGCTCTGTTGCACCGTAGCAACGATACTCCCAATATGAAAGGAGATGCCATCTCAAGCAATAGAAATATCCTTTTGGTCTCGTTAGCGATAGCGTGCCTCGCGGTGAGGCACAGTCAAATTTGGGCGGCTGGAAGCTTGAGCCGACGCGGCCGCGGGCGCGCGCTCGCCCCCACTCCTCACGCCCTCAGCTCGCTTCAGAGTCGGGGGGGGGGGGGGCGAAGCGTGAGCCCGTCGCCCCTATGCAGCAGGCGCAGCAGCTAACCTACACAAGGACAGGAAAGGAAACGGGCCCAAAGGAAGGTGGACCCGCTGGCAAGTTGCCTCGCAGATGCATGACATACTTATCAGTCGGCGTCAGAACTTGATGTCGGGACGGCCCGATATTGAGTATGTCTCTGCAGGTCATGATTGAAGGTCTGTATACCTCCCATGAACTGCAGCATTTCTTTGTCGATGCTCCCCTTGGTGTGGCCATCCGCAGTCATAACGCGGGTGTCACACCACTGAATGTTGTGCACGATTCCACGCTCCATCATCTGTCGTATCCAACTGATGTGTCCTGAAAGGGTACGCTCAGTCGGCTTCCTCAAGTCTTTGCTTGACAAGGATTTAAAAACAGACTCAGCATCGATGGTCAAAGTGACCTTGATGCTCAGGCCACCCAACTCAAGTATATATTTCAAATGAGCGGGCGCGAGCGGCCCCGCGTGGAGCTCGTGCAGAGTCACATTCGTGGGATAACAGCCCTCCAAATTACGGGCTGCTGCTAGTGTCTCTGTTGAATAGCTCGAGCGGACCTGCAAGCGGTGAGACTTGCAGTGCGCATCAATCAAGTGAACGACACGCTTACCAAATGACGTGTCTCCACGTCGTAGCAGGCTTGCCCCGCGAATACCATAGCCTTTGACGTCGTCGTCGTCGGCGTCTCCACTCAGGCGTCGATATCCTGGGTCGCTATGTAAGTCGACCTCGCCCGTGGGGTTCATCGCCTGGTAGACGATCTTCTTCGGGCAGGCCTGTAAATTTCTGGTGATCGCGTTCAGTCGTCGCATTTGAATGTTGGTCGCTTCTTGGACGCGCTGTAGAGATACAACATACACCATTAACCACGCCTGAGTGATGAGTGCGTCTGCCAGCGCAGCCGTGAGACTGACGAACATGTCTGCCCCCATCTCGGTTGCTCGAGCGTCAGCGCCAGCGCCGGTTAGTTCGGGATGTTGTATAGGACGGAGCTGCTTAACAGACTCATCTTGATCCAAGGTAACAGTAGCGTCCTCGTTCTAAGTGTATCTCACAGCACAGTTAGTATGTGTGCTTGTTGAGTTCACACGTACCGAAAGTATCTTCAACGCATTTGACACATTTGTCAATGGTGTCCTCAGTACCAGCCATAGTAATGTTATAGACATGCTTGGCCGTGAGCAAGTCATTGCTCGCCTCGAACTCCTCGTCGTAAGACGTGGGTCGGAGGCCAAATCCTCTGGCGTTTCTTCTGAGCTTAAGTGAGAAAGCCCGTGGAGCGTCCTTAGTGCCTGTGCCTGGTTTCAAGCACTGCAGGCAGTGCTTTGACTCGTCGTAGTTCTCGAATCCTGGAAGAGAACGGAGCACAGTGGCCGATCCAGGCGGCAAAATAATGCACACCACGCGTTCCTTTTCACCAGTAGCCTCAGCAAGTTCCTGATAGGTCAATCCCCTCAGGAAGGCCATGTTGATGTCAAGGGAAGCAATGATCCACTGCTTCTTGCACGCTGCCGTGCTAGCGAATACCTCCGGCTTGATCTTCTTGCTGTTCCCGACAATGTTTCTACGTCGAGAGCTCCAAGGTCCATTAAGCCTCGGAGTACCAGGCGTAGTCGGATGGTACGTTCCGTCTCGCCCTTTTCGTTCTTCACGAATTTCCATGTGCACACACATCTCGAAGTTATGATGTTCGACGCTTTGGCTATCTCCTGCATATTAGAACATTTGTTGTCGAACCATGTCTTGGGCTCAGAGAAGAGGGCCTTCGACACTTTCTCGGGATTCGCCTGAATGTCAGTTTTAGTGGGGAGGTCGTCTTCCTAGACGACCACGGCTCGCTTTGCAGCGGCGGTCACGTATACTCGCATAGTGGCCACCCGGTCGGCCTCTTATATCACGCGTTGCTGCTCGGACAAGACTACCTTCGACACTTCCGTCGTGAAACATAGTTCAACGTATCGACCATTGTCGTCCGAGTCGAGTCCGTAGCTGTCGTCTTCGACCATGGTGCACAGGGGGGCGTAGCACGCCCCCTCGGCATCGGAGTCGTGAGCGCGCCCCCACTTCGGCAGGTGCCCCCGCTGTTCATCAGCTACAGTGATCAGCGCGCTCTGATCTGGAACCATCTGCGTGGGCATGGTAAAGAGGTCCTCTGGTGGAGTTGCCTTCAACAAGTCTCTTTCCTCTTGCAATTCTGCGCACCACACCTCCATAACATGCGACTCAAGATCAGATTCTCATTCCTCGTAAATCGTAGAGAGCCGTCCGTCATCATGTGCCGGCTCGGCTTCTGAAGCTTCTCCTGCGGTTCCTTCCGGCGTCGGCGCATCCGCCAAGTCATCAAATTCTGACGCGTCCTGATCGAAACCTGCTTGAGGTTTAGTGGACTTCAGGCATTGGATGA